CTAAGAGTTCCACGTGGCTCTCAGAAGGAGCTCAGTAACCAAGATGCCAAGCTCTTAGGTTCACCAGCAAGCGAGGTGTTTGTGGCGGTCCAAAGAAACCCTGAGAGACAGCCGGCTCGTCCCTGGGAGGGATTGCAAGGGTGGCTGAGTGGGAAGAGGCCCGTCTTTTGGCCAAAGGCAAAGCCTTCATCTGGGGGCCTAAGACTGAAGCAGGCCAAGGTCAGGTTTCCCTTTGGAGGCTTCCCCTCCAGGTCCCTTCTGACCCTTCCACATCCTGAACACAAACTCTTTGTAGCAAAACCACTGCTTAGTTAGCCCCTCGTGCTGAGAAGAATCCCGAAGGAGCTAGATGAAACAATGCTTGCTCCTCCTAACTGCAGTGCTGGGCCTAAAGGAGATCACATTTCTCCAACCGAACCCCCTTTGTGGTCCTTAGATAATCTGGTGTCAATTTGGGACTTGAGAGGATTAGGAGTGAAGGGGTGGAGTCTAGTCTGTCAATCGAGTCATAGCCAATGAGGTCTTGATGTGGGCGTGGCCTTCTCCTGAGGATTCTGGGAACTCTGGTGTTTTTCCTCTTTGGAGGCAGGAGGCACTTTTCTCTCTCTGCTCACTGCCTGAGACAACGCTCTACTGACAGGACACATGGCACTAAGCTGATAGACCCCATGCCCCGGGAACTGGAGGAGCCATGTAGAGACCCCTGCCGGCACTAAGATGCTTACACCGCCACCGGATCCAAAGACTTTCTACCCACTGGCCTCTGATCGTCCTGCATTCGGCGTCATTGCATGTTTCGTGAGTCAGAAGAGGACTTTGTAGCCTGGTATCGGACCTATGGGGTAATATTGGACTTATGGGCTTGAACTGGACTGAGTTGGGATGCTTTCTTAATGTACAATTACCCTTTATATAAAACTTTTTTTAATTAATAAATTAAAAAAATCATTTTATTGGGGCTCATACAACTGTTATCACAACCCATACATACATACATTGTGTTGCTCATTTGTACATTTGTTGCCATCATTT